ACCCTGCGCTTTTAGGCGCGTCAGTAAGCTGTCCAACACCGCTAATTTGCCGGCATCGGATACGAGCGTTTGCTTATCCGGCACAACAATCGAAGACCAGCCATAGCGCGGACGACACAGCTCCAGCGCAATGTTCACCAACTGCAAACCAACGGAGTTCTCGCACTGCAGGTGCCGTATTTGAGACCAAGCAGCGTCGCGGCTCTCACAACTATAAGCAATAAGATAAGTGGATTTTTACTTAAGTAAACTGGATTATTATTATTATATTTACTATAAGCTTCGCTTGACAGCCTGCACGCGCTGACTGAGTCCGTAGAGAAAGCGCGGCATTTCGAGCGCCTCGCACTGGTATACGGTGGGTGTGCGTGGCCTGTGCGGAAATTCGGGCAGCAACTTGGCATTGGCGCTGACATCATCTTTGTACTTCGATGTGGGTTTATGTGACTTGGTTGGCGTGCTGCTAGCGTCTACGCTCGTCTCCAAATCATATTCTGTTTTTATATCCAAATCTTCATTAAAATGCAAGTGCGCCATTTTTTGCGTCGAATCACCAACGCGTTTGCTGCGTATAACGCGATGTTCGATTGTTTCCTGTATATTCACCGTTTTGTAAGCACCGAAGGCGTAAACGGTACTATCTCGGCTCGTCTGTTGATTTTCAGAGTTGATTTACTGTTTTATTGAATATATATGAATTTTTAGATACTCACCACACCAGTGAAGAGGAAATTACGCAACAAACTTTGTTGCAGCATAAAACTGGGTTGTAGCGGTTGCTCCAGCATCGGTTCCAACAACTGAAAGCGCGTGGATTTATAATGCGGCCACCATTGACGGCGGTAGGCGAGTAAAGCATATTGCAACAACCGGCGGCGATAGTGTAGTATGCTAAAATGTGGTGAATTAATAAAAGTTGTGTACAAACTTAAGGTTAAAGCAGCGCACTCACTAAGCAATCAGCCCGTTGATGGTGACATCCTCCAAATCGCGTGGCGAGAGATCGCACAAACGCGCAAAACTGAAACAGCAACTATCGCTGGCGTTCAAGTCCACATAGCGCGCATAGTGCTCACTGGACTTTTTGGTTTTGCCGGCAAACGGCTCACTAAAGAGCGTTCTATGCAAGTAGGCCGCCTTGAAGATGGAGTAACTGGCGCGCAAAAAAAAAGACAGCTGTCAAAAATTGCTTAGAAAATAAGTAAGGTGGGTGGGTACCTGTTGTACAACAAATGCCGCTTGTTGGATAAGCCGCGTTGCAGCAGGCATTCGGCGTAGACCAAGCGCGGCAGCACATACTCTTCACAGCGCATTGCAAACGGGCTTTTGGCGTCACGTCGCTCAAAGAGTTCGGGATGATTGCATACCTTACGGAACTGCATGACCAAGTTCATGAGATTCGATGTGAAATTCTTATCGAAATGATGACCATCACCGGCGCTACCCGCACCACCGCCAGTTAAATGCAACAAATCCTCGATGCGTATTTTCTTCTTCAAAGCCATGTAGAGCAGTTTCTGGCGTATGGTTAGCGGGCAGTAGACCATAATCTCAATCTTATCGGAGAGCTCATTCTCCACATCCTTTTTGATGCGCCGCAACATGAACGGTTTGAGTATCATATGAAGGCGAGATATTTGCTTTTCATCGATGCCCGTCTTATTTTCCGCATGCGATTCAATATCCTTCGAGAACCATTCGTTAAACTCATCGTGCGAGTCGAAGAGGGTGGGCATAATGAAATGCAAGAGTGCCCATAGCTCAGCCATGCTGTTTTGTATGGGCGTGCCGCTGAGCAGCAGCCGATTGCGGCAATTGAAGCCGAGCAGCAGTTTCCAGCGCATGGAGGAGGCGCTCTTTATGGCCTGCGCCTCGTCCAACACCATGTACTGCCATTTGATGCGATTGAAGTATTTGTAATCGGATACGATCAGTTGATACGATGTGATGACCACATGAAAGCTGGCCTCACGCGTGTGCAGATCCTTTTGCTCCCAAAACTGACGCAAAATTTTGCGCTCATTCGGCGAACCCCAATAGGGCACGACATTGAAGTCGGGCACAAAACGTTGCATCTCTTGCTGCCAGTTGTGCAGCGTCGACGCTGGCGAGATGATTAGAAATGGACCCCAGACACCGTAGCGCTCGGCCACATGACAGAGAAATGCAATGGATTGCACCGTTTTTCCCAGACCCATCTCATCGGCAAGTATGCCGCTAATACCCTGGTCATAGAGATTTGCGAGCCAGGTTACACCTGCAATGGATTATAGTTCGATAATAAAAAATATTTCTCATCAAATAACTCATACAAATACGAACCCTTAATCTGATAGGTCTTGAGTGTGCCCTTAAACATTTCTGGTTGCGGCACATCGGCTTTCGCTGGCTTCACTGGCAGTGACGGTTCCACATCATCTTCTTTTTTAATTTTGTTCATGACCCGGCGGTCCGCAGACTCATTCTGCTGCTTCAAATGCGCCGCCACATTGAAACGCCGCGTCTTATCGGTATCGGTAGAGAAAGCCATTTCAGCGTTCTTCTGCGCCAACGACTTGTAGTGCTCAGCATCATAGTCGTCGTAAGCGGCTAAACGGGGATTGATATCCTCATCCAATTGATTTAGTATACGCAGCTGTTCCTCTTCGGTGCCCTGGCCCAACTTCTTCGACATAAAATGCGCGTAAAGCTCCGTTTGTGTAATGAGGAAGTTTAGTTTTCTTTGCTGTCGCTTCGCCTCTATGATTTCTACATCCATCTTGCGCTGCTCCTCGGCTTCACGCTCCATGCGTCGACGCGTATCGCGCTCAACGCGCTCGTACCGCTTCCAGTAACCCATCATTTCACGCGTGAGGCGTTTGGCGCGCCACACAGTCTCCTTCATGACTTTTTGTGAAATCATAGCGCGTTGCCGCACAACCTTCGAGCACATAGTGGCCACGCGTTTGCAATTTTGCACCACTTCCTTGTGATTGTTGGCCTTGCCGCGCTGACAGCGGCCAAGCTCTTTTTTGGCCATTAATTGCCAGACCCGTCGTCGCCGTGCTGCCATTACCTCAGGTGTACGTGCTTGCTGACTCTTACGGCGACGTCCACGTCCGCTATGAGGCACACCACTCGGCGGTAGCAGTGACAGGTTGGCATCTAAAGTGCTATCCATATCATCGGTTATATTGTCATCCTCATCATTAACTGCGGAAGTGTCGCCAAAGGCATAATTATTCAGCTCGGACGGTGGGATTTCACCAGGCTCAGGTTGTTCGATCTTTGGTTTGCGTGGCTTACGCACTTTGGGTTCTTTCGGCAATTTCGGTGGCTTTATGGGCTTCTCTTTCTTAGTGCGCCGCCTGCGTTTACGCACGCCCACTATAGATTGTTGATGTTCGGGGAACATGTCATGGTTGGAGAGCATACCAGCACCGTAGTAAGCATATTGGGTATTCTGTAATATAAACTTGTATATGAAAAAAAAATAAGAATAATAATTTTATGGTTTTACCGTTGCCTTCTTGTAGAAGTTTTCGCGATGTCTCTGTTCAAATATGTGTGTTTTTAGTAACTCTTTAACATAGTCATCTTCGTCACTAATTTCCGTCTCAGTATCGGTATCGCTAAGCAACACATGATACAGCCACTCCCTATCATTTGTAAGGTCATTGAAGTTGAATAAATGCATTTTGACACTTTGGCGCTCTAAAATATATATAATAATGGTTATTGTTCAACATTTATCATTATTTCTGTACAATACCTTCTTTGGTACCAAGTCGTCGATTGCGTTTTTTGCGTGTACCACCAACCTCGTCTTCAGAATTATCTGTGCCGCCCTCCACTTGATGTTCGTCTTCTTCTGTTGCGTTCGAATCATCACCGCTGCTGAGCGGTTGTGATAACACCTTTCTTGCGTGTTCCATGAAGGGTCGCATATTTAAAGCCGCCTCCAGTCGTTGTATATGCAGTGGTTCTGCAATGCGCTGTTGGTTGGTAGGTTGTGCTGCAGTAGTCTGCGCTGGCGTTTGTGGCCCCATAGTGGTCGGCAATTGGTTCATCACTATTGCATTTCCGCTTGCGCCAGTTTGCAGCATGTCATTAATTTTTCAGCACACAATTTCCTAAATATAATTGTATATATTATAGAATTAAAGAAAATTTAACATTTTGACCCAGTCACCTTGTTTGGTTTTAAATGCATCCGCTGTATTCTACAATGTCCGTTGCGCTGTGCTACTTCCGCTATTCTTTACATGTAATTCAAATTCAAATTTCGAAAGAAAACCAGTTGTTCAGAAAGTTATTCGTGAAATATGCATACGTAACGCTAAGAAATTTCACATGCGCAACCACAAATTTTTCTTTATCACCACACAATGCTGTCATAAGTCATACGCGTTTTACATGCTATTGCTGTAGTTCGATTGAAAAGGCAGCAACAAAACAAAAATTGCAAATAAAGCCAACTAAACGAAAATTCTTATTAACTTACAGCTGATTGGTTAATTGCTAACGAAGGGTTGCATGCGCACAAAATTGTGTAATTGAATTTACAAAAATCAGACAAGTTTTGACATCGAAGAGGGCTTAAGTACCAAATAAGTTTCTACTAAAGTTTGATTAAAATAGTACCATTATCTATTTATCAAATAACGATATAATAAGTGCCATTAAAACTAAGAAATTTAAAGCATGAATCCCAGAAACCCTACACTTTTTTCTTCTTCTTCAAAACTGAACCAAAACAAATAAATGAACGAAAGTTTCCGCAGAGTTGCATTTCACGTTCTACAATTATTTAGCCATCCAATTCATATACCATCTGTGAAATCTTTATTGCTTTTGTAATTATAAGCACTAATGTCTTAAAAGAATTTAATATCTTACCAAAAATGACAAGCTTTATAACAAGTATTGTGGATAACACTGTTGCTCAATAATGACATTTTTAAAGTGATGTAGCTAGGTTTCAAACCATTCCCAATAAGAATTTTATATTTGCACTCTGATTGGCTTGTCGTTGCTAACATACGAAGTCAATTTTTGTGAGAATTTTTTTCAAGAGCACGAAAGCAGAAAAATGAAATAAATTCCTTAATATTCTCTGCCTTTATTCTCATACATTTTTACTAGTTTTTATATGAAAAGGTTGAGAATACACCACGAAACTTGTAAAAAATGCGCAGATTGTGTTTGACGTAAAAGCCAATAAAAGTATCGACCACATGATAGATCTATCGACGAATTTTGTACGGTCACTACCATACCACACATAATTTTCTAAGTTAAGGTTAAAAGCAGTTTTAGAAAAACCTTTTAAATAGTATTTTTAATATTTAATATATTATTATTATTTTAATCGGTGTGCAATTAATTTGAACAGAACGTAGTTGAAATCAATATATATTAATCAAAGTTTTGGTAATCACAGTCTACGTCGTCCAATTTGTTGCAACAGCTGTTTGCATTGTTTACATTTTAACACAATTGCCTGTGTGTTGAATAAACATTAAAAGTTTTTGACTTCATGTATTATTACATAAATACTAATTACTGAATTGTAAATAATAGAGCAAGACAATAATTTTAATTTCTATTTCCAGCATTACAAGTTGCTACACAGAATTCTCGTGTATTTAGTATCGGCTAATAAGTAAGGGCCCAATTACTCTAATCTTTCTGCTCATTAGTAGGAGGAAATTCGAAATAATTAATCAGCAAACACATCAAAAGAGAAAACTGTGAGAAAAAATGAGACCGGTTTTGAATACACAGCCCCAATGCTGTGGCCTGGATGTAGCAAGAGGCAGCTTAAGAAGATTCAGACAAGTCAGAACACCGCGCTTCGGTCTATCACAGCATGTCTTTTAATGTCCCCGGACAAACAACTTCTTAAAGAGGCGCGAATGCTTCCGGTTGAGGAACATAATGCACTCCTCTCAAGTTCCCAAGCAGTTTCTGTTTAAATGTTTTCTCAGAAATACGTTGACGAACTCGACGACAGGCTCAACAACTTAGCCGACTAGCGGTTAACATTGGATGATTAAAACAACAAAGTAGAAAATTGGTGGACATATGACTCTATTAATAGAGGTAGATAGACGCAGAAGTTAATAAAAAACCTACACAAATAGAAGTAAACGGAGAAGTAAACTACTATGTCCCACAAATGATATCCAGGCACGGATCTTTTAAGACGTAGTAGAATTCTTTAGATTTACTAGGATTGCAGAAACTACGGTGGGGGAGAGCAAGATACGTCTTGGTACTACAAGAGATTGCCCTCAGGGCGGGGTATCGTCCTCCCTTCTATGAAGCCTCATAGTAGATGAACTCCTTGAGATGCTGACGAACAACGGAATTCGGTGCCAGGGGTACGCCGATGACATTGTCATTATGGCAACAGGGAAATTTGAGAACACTCTCTGCGATATAGTCCAAAGAAGCTTAAGCCTAGCAAAGCGATGGACATCAACCCTTTAAAAACAACCGTCATCCCTTTCACTAAAATAAGATCTCTTCCGGGCTTGAGAACTCTATCCCTTGGTGACAGCGAGCTGGAGGTGTCTAAGGAGATTAAATACTTAGATCTCATACTGGACTTCACCTTGCGGTGGAATAGGCACGTGGAGCTAATGCTGCCCAAAGCCACAAAGGCACTAGTATCACCAAGTATCATCAGGTGGCTGTACACCATGAGCGTGAGGCCTATTGTTACATTTGGAGCGGTGGCATGGGTGTCGAAAGCATTGCAGACTTCGATATGTCTTCAACTATCGAAGCTGCAAAGACTTGCCTGCGTCTGCGCCACTCTGGCAATGCGCACTTGCCCCACCGCAGCACTTGAGGTCATGCTAGAGCTCACACCGCTCCATTTAGTTATTAAACAGACTGCGAAGAATACTAGGCTGCTCATGACAGCAGAGGGGTGTGGAAAAGGGAAGTTACTCTCGTCTTAACAAATGAGGGCCTTAGAGGATAATACGCCACTGCCCCCTCCTTCCAAGAGACGGCGTAACGAAGAGGGTAAACTTTACGAAAAAGTTTACTTTCGGCAGTAAGGCGGACTGGAGTGATTCCACACTCGACCAACTGTTGAGAGGCACACTGACGGTACACCTGATCAGACGAACTCACCCGCTCTGCTGCTGCCTCTGGGATGATGGGGCCGGAACCATGCATTGCAGTGGGGTCTCACACAATAAAGGTGGGTAAAGAAATTCATTGGCAGCAAGCAATTGGTATGCGGCATGCTAAACTGCTACTAGGAGGGTACAATCTAGCCAGGTTCAGAGCTATGATAAACCCCTCCAGAGACAAATTCCGGCTCCTTGTCGCTCTCTACACTGGGCACTGCAGGCTCAAAAAATATTTCCAATTTGGGCATAGCTTCTTGCAGTAACTGCCGGTTCTGCGACATGGCGCCGGAAACACTAGAACACCTGATTATAGATTGCACCGCAATTTGTAGACGCAGGCTCAAGGCCCTCGGTTCCATTTATGTCGACAGGGATCACATTACCTCTAGTAATGATGTAACATAGTAAAAAACTTAAAAAGCGCAAATCAACAAAGTGCCTTCAGAAAATTAAATCAGACATCAACATTGAAGATGCATATATTGGACAAAATATACAGAAGGTTGGCTACAACTATTTTTATTCCCTTGCAGTCTTTTAAATGTTGTGACTAAGAAACCGCTTAACTATAATTCAATAAAAGTTGTAAATATTAGTAAAAGAAAATATTTTATATACTTTAAAAATAAAAAGCCTAACTTTAATAATGAATAATCAAAAATGAGTGTTGTCTAATGTTTAAAAATTTTTTTAAATGTAACCTTATTGTATAAGAATTTTACAATCCATCTGCAAGAGGTGTTAGAGAAATAGATTTGAGTTGGTATTTTGACAGATGGGAGGACTAATTGTACGAATATAGCGTCAAGCAATATGATCCTACTATGTTGGCAGAATGCGCAGTTTTCAATATAAGGTCCTTCTCGCTGTTTCTCTCTCATTGGGTCTTTTATTAGTGACCAGCGTTAAATTAAGAATCATGGTGAGTTTATTTACTCTCGTCAGTCATAGTATATTAACATCAACGTACTAATAGAGTGAATGGATTACATATCGCTTTCTTTACATATTATGTTGAAACCGTACTAAATCGTAGTTTCTTACATCTATCGATATTTCCTCTGGGCTCTTACATCTTGGTCTAAAGTCGTATGGGTCATTTATCATTCGTACTGACGTGAGACCACACAAATTGTAGACTGCTTTCTTAATGCTTGAAAATCAGAAAGGCCTTAAATGTTTCCGATATTTGTTTATCATTCACCAGAACGAGATGGAGTTCGGATTAAGCCTTTTAGTTTAAGCGCATTTAACTTTTTAGAAAACTTTCAAGTCAGATTTTTACCTTGTTTATTTTTAAGCTTGAGCTCTTAAGCCATGGTGGTTGCATTCAACCGTATGATATATGAATACAAATAAATATGCATGCATATATGTATATATACCCTACAAGAACAGTGACAGTCATCTAACCGGTAATATGACAGTTACAGCTGAAAAAAATTTGTCAGCGCGAAGAACAAAGTTTCTATAATTTTCTTAAAAGCCTTGTGCAAAAACTGTTCTAAACAAACGCAATATGCATCTCTCTTTAACACATGAATATTCGGAATTAATTCATTATATATTTATACTGCTCACTCTCATGCCTGAATCATCGCTTCCCTCAAAAGATCTGCTGTACGTGTTTCTCCAGTTTGTGAATATTTCGGTATTTAAAATTGCCTAAATAAAAATGAAAATTAACTAAAATAAACTAAACTTAATAATAACTTACGTATAGTATATTTAAAACTTCTTCGTTATTTATTTATTTTTTTAACACAAAAATAGTTATTGCACAGAAGCACGCAACACTTTTGGTTTATCGCACGGAATAACATTTTCACAACTTCTCGAAACTTCTATGGAAATGTTATCTGTCTCTTTTCGACGTATGCAAAATATGCTTTTGGAAAAATCGTAAACATTGACAGTCATTTTACTGTTCATTTGACTGTCAGTACTGACATAACAAATGTGAGTGTATTGGTGAACCCATCAGCAGTTTCTTGTAGAGTACATTTGTAAAGCTAAAGTGCAACTCAACTGGCGTGAATATTAAACTCATGTGAACTCGACCTTTGTCATTGTTCCAATGATTATTTTTGTACTAAATCCTTTAGCTACAAAGTTCACAGACAAGCAAGCAGAATAAATGGCAATTTCAAATACTATTTGCGCCAAAGTGAATGTAAACAATAGCAAAAACAAAGTGGTTAAAAGAAGGAGTAGTAACAAAAAAAAAATAAAAAAAAAAAGAACAAACCAATAATAGAGACAAGTAAAAAGTTCCCGGACCCACACCGTCTTAGTGAATAAGGATAAACCCACTAAGGGCGCTAGTCGTTGCTCTATTTCACAATGTAACGTCAAACTCACATTAAATTGAAGTCAGGTTCTACTAGCGCAGAGAAAGCGCATTATTCTGCTCTCATTACCCACAGTTGATACGGATTACATACTAAGAACAGAATCCACCGGCAATCGGTTGAGGCGAGATTGTTGATTTGTTTATAATCTCAGAACTATATTGAATATCATTATAGAGCTCTTCGTCACAACATATGAGCAATTTGGCTTCTATAGTGATTCTACATGAACTTCAAGACTTAATTGTACTCCGTATAGTATATCTCTTCAAAGTTTTGATTATCAATAGCGACTTTTAAAAGAAGCGGAAAGTACTTATCGATGAAAAAACTTCCATCGGCAGTTTAGCAGTTGCTATTTTTATCTCAGTGCCGAATAACCGTCAATAGAACAAAACATTACTTTCGCACATTCTCTCTTGTTTTCGGAAATATTTGTGTTTACTGGGTTGTTCTTGCAGGTGTGATTGAAAAAATAAACAGAAAAAGTGTTGCTTGGCTTGCACGAAAGTTATTACCAGTAAATTGCCATTTACAAATTTCAAAACTTTGCCTTGGTGTTTGAGTAGAACACATTGTGGCACCGCAGCTGTTGCAAAATGTTGCGCTTAGCGGAGGAAATAATAACAAGTTGTAAGCGCGTTTCTGTGGTGTTCGAACGTTATTTTTTGTGTTTGAAGTTCCTTTGTTGTGTTACATTTGCGCTAAAAGTGTTTTTATTAAATATATATTGGGGCCATCAGTAGTACTAGTTTTAAAACACGGGAAGAAGGGTGCTGCAAAAGTTTTGAAATAACGCATCATAGGACGCGAATGATTTTTAATTCGATTTTTTCGATATGTGGGAATGATCAGACGGATCTGATCTAGTAAATGCGCTCCATTTGCTTGAAAAAGCGATATGAATAGTTTCAAACACCTTCTAATCTAACTTTAAAACAGCAAACCGGACGTACCATAATTTCACGAACAAACATATATATATACGAATACCATCGATATTACTACTTTATATATATAGGACTACGCGGGGCTTTGGCTCGAGAAAACAGTACTTTATTCCTTCTCAATCAGAGCTATTTACCGCGATTTATTCCTTCAAACATTCCCATAATACTATACTGTTATGTACTGTTCCGACTACCAAATCGTTGTGTTACGAGGGCGACAGGGGCACTTGACCAAATATTCATCAACGATACGTCCAACTCGATTCTTTAATATCTTTATAGTGTTGTTATCTCGATCAATCTCATTTTAGATCATACAAAATAATTTTTTGATCTTGTCCATTGGATTCTCTAGGAGTTCAATATTCATAGTCCTCACTGTTTATATAAGTATAAGCTTTACGGAATTAAACAAACCACTTCCAAAGAGTTGCGTTGGTTTGCGCAGAGACTGGAAAACTTCATTAAAAATATGCTAAACGAACCAATTGTCCGAAAGCTGTGTGATTTATATACATACATACGTGCCATTGACTACAAAATAGATGGGTACCGCATGCCTGATAAGATCGGCAAGAGCGAAACCCAGCACAACGTCCCATATCATCACATACATCTAATTCAGAGTTTGACGAAGATAAGGTTTAGTAATTCTCTCAGTGGTAACTGCATTTATCATGCCTGCATTTGCTGTTAATAAAATCGCTGTTTAAAATGCTAAGAAGGAAAAGGATAATGTCGGAACTTACTTTTGGGTAGAACATGCATAAAAAAATGTGCACTAGGAAAAAGACGTCTTTAAAAGATTGCATTTTCTACCCACCAGACCTAGATTTCTTGTTTCATGTAAACCTGTGATTTATTTTTTATCTTCCTTCTTAACCCTAGTTTTAACACTGTACACTGATTTGAACTTAGCTTTTCCACAAAGCAATGACGCTGCCCTTCAATTGTAAAATACTAATGACGGCAAACGCATCGAATTCCCAAACAAAAATAGTCAATTTATCAAGATTAGTACAGAAGTTGCCTCCAATCATTGAATTTACTTACTTACGGGTTTACGCGCGCACCGTAGCTGGCAAGTGTTGCAGCAAAACGTGGGTAGTTGAAGAGAAAATCTGTGCAAGCTTAAGCTCATTATTGTAAGCTATGGTATGTGTGCTAATGCGAACGCAATTCTGATTACACTCACACATATGTTTACATACAAATACAAAAACAAGACGGCAATAAGTCCGATGCAACTCGATGTGTCCGGTGTGCAAATTTAGTAGCATACAAGTATATATAGCTTTGGTATTCGTGGCTGTGTGTGGGTTTCTTTGGTTGCACAGCAACTTTTGAATTGCATCCAATTACTGAAATTTACCGTTGCAGTTTGTGTATTAGTAAGTTTGCTCGCCCACCCGTTAGCTCTTTGGTACAATGTTAAATTTTGGTTTTGCTGCGTTTTCTTTGGTGCGTGGGTAGCGATAGTTTCTCAACTTAGTTGCCCTCTTAAACTCGCTCTAGTTTTTTGTTGTTGCCTCATACAGCACACCGGTAAAATACGGCATTTACCTTGACCTAAAACAGTTGGATTCTTCGCTATCTAACAACTCTACAAATCTGCATGCAGCTTCGTCATAACAGTGCAAACCATATCAGTGTCGTTGCGCTTTCTTGCTGCCTTGACTTTCGTGCCAGTTCCAGGCATCGCCACAAGATGTTGCAGCAATTTGCCAATTAACTTGAATTAACTTGAATCTTGCATAAAACAACAGCCATTTCTTGTGGCAAACGGTAGAACTAAGGTCACTTGAAAGTTGTTTAGCCTTGCGAATGGCGTTGGTTGTTGAAAACTCGGAGTGAATCAAGTTTCTGTGCAAAATCCTTGTAATTTTAAGCAAGTGTCTTTTTGTGCTTTTAATGTCTTACGCTAGGAAAATAACCACAATGGCTTAAGTCAATCATTGAAATAAAAATTTTAAAGAGGTTCTCAACGCGTGACGATATTTCTAGGAACTCGTGCTATCTTGAAATGGATCTTAATCTACATACGACTATAAAATATCTACGCTTTAGCTTCGCAAACTCGGGTTCACTTATAAAAAAAAGTTGAATATTGTACCAAAGGAGTTACGCCAATAAAAATAATTATCCTTATCTTACTGATTAATATTTTATGATGTTCCAATTGGAATTTCAAGTGGTTACGTGCAATAGTCTGTAAATACCATTGCTATTTAAAGTTTTACGTGCTAAGGCTGACTGACCCGTACACTTCGACACTACAGAGGAGTGGAAAGCCACATTTTTTACTATTCCACCAATTGAGTACACTTTTTCGGATCCTTAAATCTAGTTTAAACTAAAGGCAGATATTTTTAAAATCCCAGACTGATCTAGTCTACTTAGTGTAGCCACAGTACGCCATAAATGTTGACTAAAGAATTAAAAGCTACGAGTTCTTACCATAAAAATATAAGCGTAGAAAAATGTTTAGATGAAAACTTTCCAGGTAAAATAACAATGGCGGCAATTATAATAGTTCTAAATACTCCTTAATACTCTATTTCAAACGCCACACATATATGAATTGAGTCATGGAGTAAGAGTGACTTCTGGGCTTATAATTGTCTTAAAGTTTTGACGCCAATCAAGCATCGAAATCGCGCCTCGCAATCTGATAATGCTAAATACGATATGGGAACGGGACACAGTCAGGCGAAACTGCCATTCGTATGTGGTTTGTGAAATTTCATTTAGGTCTCTAGAGCACCGTCCAAACTATAATGGTCATCTGAAAGAGGCTGGTATGGACGAAAATATCAAGATATTTGTGGATGATCGTAAAACCAAAAAATCGCTCGAACTTTTGGAATATCAAAGAAACGCGATTTGTTGATTTTAAGCGGTAATATACTTGTATTTTTGCTTATGATGACAACAGTCGGAATATGCATTCGTTATTTTCCTCCGCAATCCAATCGACAGATATCCGAGTGGATTTCGCTCAATGAACTAAAATTAAAGCGTGGTCAAAGGTGCGCAAGGAAGAATTTTTATTAGCTTTATTGAAACTAGAATAGATTCGCTTGCTCTATGGTATAATTAAAAGTGAAAAGCATTTCCAAGGCAATTAAGGTAGCTA